CCCCAAAACCCCAAAACCCCAAAACCCCTTAATATAATATTTGAACTAATTGAGAATAGTGAGAAAATTTACTAATCAGCTTTATAAATTAATTTAAAAATGAACATTTTTTCAGGGAAAAAATAGTTATCAGATGTGATACTTGGTTATAGAAAGCCAAATACTAATCATAGACAATTTCTTAATTAGATTTTAGCAGAATCTAAATAAGAACTCTAAAGCAAGGATTTTAAGGATAAGGCTACAGCAGCATAAAAGCTATTATTCTTGTTCAATGAGGGAATTGATATCAGCTGGGCAACCTTTAACATTATTGAGCTTATGGGCTCTGGGTAATTCGATAATAAGAGAATCGGCTATGTTTTAATTCCCATAGTGCTAAAGGATGGCAAAAATTAGGACTTCTTAACATTACTACCCAATCTCTTTCGAAAAGACTTCAAAGATATGGGAGCAGATCCATTTACAGTATCAATATCGATAAATTGTCTTGCTAGAATTTGTAATGAAGACCTGGCACTTATCCTTTACAAAGAAATGATTCCACTTTACACCTGCTCTAAAGCATTAATTAGAAGAAAGATTTGCATCCTTACTTTTAAGATGTTCTATTTCTGCACTGACTCTATCTCAGAGCTTTTGCCATACCTTAGTGATAGATTAAAAGATTCAAAGACAGGAGTTCAGATTTCAGCTGTCACTACTATTCATGAAATTTCAAGGCTTAATCCAAAATTATTCCTTGTTACCATACCTCATTTATTCGAGTTAATTAATACAACAAAGTCGAACTGGCTTATTATAAAACTTATCAAACTTGTAAAATAACTTCCAACTCTTTAACTTTCATATATAGTTTGTGGAGTTCTTACCTACTGAGCCAAGACTTTTTGGAAAGCTTAAGCCAAAATTCAGAGATCTGCTTGTAGATTAAAAAGCAAAGAGTGTGGAGTATGAACTCATAAAAGCTGTTATTTCTAGTTTCAAAGGTTAAGAAGATGCAGAACTTGTTATGCTAGCTAAGGATAAGCTAACTAACTTCCTAAATTCCAAAGACCCAAATTGTAATACTTGCAATTATCATTTATTAAAAGAATATAGTGAAATATCTTGGACTGCTAATATTGAAGGAAATTCTAGAAAAAGATAAATCTCAAATACAAGCTTACAAACAATACATAGTGTAGTGTTTTAATTCAGATGATCCATCAATAAAAAATAGAGCTCTTGAAATCATCAAAGTTACAGTAATATATTATAGAGATTCTAATTACTTTAGACAATGAAAGAAAATTTGGAATCTCTAGTGAATGAAATGCTTTTGAATTTACCAAGTTTTAAAGACCCTCAATTTCAGAAGAATGTAATAACTACTATTTTAGATATATGCACCAATCATCATTACTCATGCATCAATGACTTTGAATGGCTAAGCTGCAAAGTATTATTTGCTCTTTCGAAATTGATTAATACTCTTTCATTTCCTGATTAGAATGAGTTTTATAAAATAGATAAAAGGATATCAGATATTTTGATTGACATTTCAATGAGAGTAGAGGAGAATAGATAAAATCATATTATTACCAAATGTTAAGACTCAGTTAATGATCAAGAAAATATTAAGGATTTTTTCAAGCAATAAGGCTAGGATAGCTAATTTGTTCAATCAATGCTTTATCTGCTTACAGAATATATTGAGGAATTAAAACTTAATGACAATGATAAATATGCTCTTTGCTAAAAGTTGACTGACAATAATTAGTCTAAATTGTTGAATAAATCTTAAAACATTCGAATTCAGATAGCTAATTTGCTTTTGAAGTGCTAATTAAAATGCTCAGACTAATAAAAATACGATTATTAGGCACTTTTAGTAAAGCTTAAACCAACTGGATTTGATCATCTAGAACTCATTGAAGTTGAAAATTTATATAAAAACATAGCTAGTTTGAAATTATGTTGCTAAAAATCTGATTAATTAGACATTTTGAAAGAGCTTTTAGATGAAGAATTGACTCCTATCAATGAGATGGCTTAGTTTTCAGTTCCTATTCCAGACTGCTTGAATAAAAAATTCATGGTCAACAAGAAAGAAATGCAAATTCAGGAAAAATGGATGATAGGCACTCCAAACTTATCAAGACAAAAAACTCGAGATTAAGACTTTAATGAGAGTCCTTCATTAAAAGAGAAAAAGCTGACTCCATCTATGATGCTAGAAAATTGTTTTGAAGAGTCTAAATTGAACACACATAATTGAAGGTTCCACTACTATTATTTTGATAATTTTTGATTATTCTTAATTATCAATATGAATCAGATAACTACAAGAGGGGTTTTGGGGTTTTGGGG